ACTATTTATAGCAGCCGCAAATAAATCAAATATTCATCAACAGTAGAATGAGTATAAAAAATTTTTGTTACATTCTTATGAGAATACAGCAAAAACATAGGTACATCTCAAATACATAATATTGAGCAAAAGAAGCCAGACAAAACAGGCAAAACTAATCCATGCAGTTAAAAGTAAGGATAGTATAATAGTTAACCTGGGGCAGGGGTGAGGAAGCAGGGTAATGAGGAGGGGATATGTATATTTTATGTATAACAGATTGTATTTCAGTAGTTTATGTAGATTGTATTTCAAAGAAAAGCATGTTATTCCAGTACATGAACTCCCTGGATCCCCCAAATGGTTTCGGGAGCTATTTATGTAAATACTTAGGTGAACTGGTTTAATGAGGTTAGGTTGTGTTCTTTCACACAATCTGTACTGAGTGGGGGAAGGTAATTCTGAAGCATATGCACCTCTGATTTTATATAACATCTCCCTACTAATTTTTGATAAAATTTTAAACTACAGAGGTATGTATATAGGGGCTTTCGCTACTGAGAACTACTAAATTTCAACAGTCATGTATTCTTCAGGTCTTTTTATAAAGGAAATAAAACATAGGTAAAGTGAAATCCCCTTTGATGCTTCCAATCCTGTCCTATTTTTCTGTTAACATACCTATATGCAAACAGTGCTGTGTAATTTAATTTTTAAAAAAAACACTGTGCAGGCCACATAAACCATGTGTCTGGGGCCAGATTATGATAATATAATTTAGAACATAAAATTCTTAATTCAGAGGCTATGTGAAAGTCTATGCTAAATATGGAAAAGGTAAATAAACAATAATCCTGCATATTATATCATAAGAAAGTTATTTCAAGAAAAGTGGGAACTTTCTTACAACATGCCTAATATGCTAAATTCTCATCTGATAAAGTGCCACCTCGTATTCCTCAGTTAAAATCCTTCTTAGCCATAATGGCATATCACTTCATCAAAATAATTATCATTTTCAACTATATGCCAATCTTTTTAATATGGCATAGAGCCCCATGCCTAGTTTTTCAGAAATCACAAGAAAAAATCAAGCTAGTATGGAAAAATGATTAATCTGGTTCTAATTTCATTCAAGTCATTATTCTAATCTTCAAAATAAAAATTTTTAATGGAAAACTCCATTTTAGTATAATGCAAGTCAACAGAAAGCTGAATTAACTCCTTAGTTGAGATATGAATGCTATATCCATAGAAAAGCAGAGTATTTTTAATTATAAAGGGAAAATTCTGTGTAACAATACCTGTTCATTAACATTATCTTCATATATTTTATTTTAAAAATTAAAAAATGTAATATGCCTTAAAACGGGCAAGTAAG